TGTCTACACATTTAGAGGGATTAATAGTTAAGTTATGCTCAGTAGACCACTGAGCAAGGTTAGTAAGGCCAAGTTGGAGGGTGGGGGTGACAGATGCATCAGGGTGGGTAATTCCGACCACAACATCGTCCGCATATTTAATAAGCAGGGAGTTTTGGAAAGTAGGCATGGATGAAATGTAAGTGGAAAAGAAGAACGGAGATAGAATAGCACCCTGTAATACGCCCTGTGTAGAAAGTAAGGAAGAGGAGGATCGACCAAGGTAACGTGTGAACTGTGATCGATTTATGAAATAGTTGGTGAGTACTGCAGTAATAGTTTGCGATATTCCGTGGGAAGACAAAATATTTAACAGCAAAGATCTATCAACACAATTGAAGGCGTCACTGTAATCCAAGAAACAAATTCTGACAGCCTTCTTGTTTCCGTCAAGTGCTGACAGAATGTAGTGAACCAGAGAAGCTAGGGCATCAAGGGTAGAACGAGAGCGACAGTATGCAAATTGGCTTTGGTCCTGCCCATTCAGCTGAGATGACATTCCTTGGAGGAGTAACTTCTCGAAAAGCTTCAACACAACAGACATACATGCAATGGGACGGAATTTTGAGGTGCCTCTTTTAGGCACTGGAGTGATGGAGGCAGCTTTCCAACAATCCGGTATAATTCCGTTTTCCAAGCACTGGTTGAACAGAGCTGTGAGCACTGGTGAAAGTGTATGTGCGCACTCCTTAAGGATTGCAGCCTCCAATCTATCAGGACCAGGTGATTTATTGGGTTTGAGTGTCAGCAACTCTTTCAGAACATCCTGATGTCGAATAGTGAAGGGTTCTTGATTGCTGGGGCAATGTTTGTGCTGGTGGTGATCGGCCCCGGCCCCGTATTGTAGGTACATTTAGTGAATGTTGTGTTTAGCTCCTCAACGTCTATCGGGTGCGATTTGTCGATTCTATGTTTTTAGAAAATGTCAAACGGATACAGAATAAACTCTAAAGCTGAGCGGTTTTCGGAGGGTAGAATTACATTTATGAAACCAGCACTACATTTTCTATTACAGTGAACGAGGTGGACACGGCGACGTGACCTATCTTATGAAAATCATTCAACAGGGTGAATCACCAATCAAGTAATGCCATTCCCACATTCGTTAATGGTGTTTATTCAGCAACACACACAATACTCTGTGCAGGCCTGCAATAAAAGGATAGAACGTGATAATAAGATGCATAAAGGGCAGCAACATAGATGGCTAAGGGACTGATTAAAACATCTATAGCGGCTGAGCGGAATTATTGCCGGGGGGGGGGTTATCCCATTCGTTTCCGTCAAATCAAAGGAGATCTGATCTTGGTTTATCACATAATGTCCATCTTGATCGTAATCAACAACGACCTCTGCATAGAACATTCATTCAGATTATTGCGCACAAAAGGTCAACTGAAATACTGACCTTCAGAGTGTGCACCACACATGGTAATCCCATAATTCTTTGTTGTTTGTGCTCCAACAATTGGATCTTCAACAATGAGGCTGAATGAAACGCACGTCCCTAAACTCTTAACACCAGTGAAACCACGCAACGATAATCAAATCAGGTAATTTCATGTGTGACAGGTTTATTACCAGGGTCTTTTTAGGACATTCCTCATTTTCACCAAGATATAATTCAGCCGCACAAATGCAATATGGGACAACGGGAGGAGCATCGATCGGCCTCTTCCTATTTCCCGTCGGAAAATTTTGACTTTGATTTCAGTATTACTGATTAACTTCATCTGAAACCATTTGATTGGATAGTATCAGAGGTAAAACTGTTTTTTGCGACAAATCAAATATTATCACTTACAAGAAAGTACCTCATGCTGATCGTTGTCGTTGACACACGAAGTGCATTATTCCAGTACCGACACCAATTCCGATCCGTATTTTGTTCCGTGGGTGATGCAAAACGCCATTCGGAATAGGTCGTGCTCAACGTTCAATAAATGTCCAATGGAATAGAAAGAACTGTTCATCCGCTTCATTGACAGGAACCACACCCTACCCTAAGACTCCGAAATACGTGCAAAGATATAGATAAAATTAGGAGATAGCTTTCATTTTACATCATTTTTTCTTCTCAACAGACATGGTATAACTCAGATTTACACTGAATTATGAAGGTGCGTAAGTAAACCAGAAGAAGAGAGAACAACCGCTGCCTAATTTGAACTTGCCAAAAACACAATTGGTATGTCTAGTGATGGTCGGTAGCTTCAAGATAATGGCTTATCAAATTATGCGTAGGTTGCGAGCTACGTGCTTAGCGATAAACATACAATGTTCAGGTTATCGCTGCCTTCCAATATTCCTGATTAACCAGCTTTCAGACATTTCCTCGGTGGGTGTTGGTGGCGCCGGTCATACAATGCGCACATTATGATACAAGTGTGATATATTTGGTGGCTACCATAGAAGAAGGTACTTCAGTCGTGTCTCCATCGGCAATATTTCCTTTTGGCGGTAACAAATCATAATTGTATGTCGTAATGCGGAGATATTGTTCATGAACCGAGTAGCTTGATAGGAAAAACTACCCAAACGCTGTACAACCGTTAGAGCGATAGCCTGACCATACACCGCAGATCAAAATGGAGTGTGATTATTCTGTTAATGAGTGGTTTTTATCATCTGTATGCGCTGAGTACATAAAGCGCACCGCGCAAAACGCATTACATGAATTTTAACCACCTATAACGAACAGAATACATTTTGGCTTCGAATATTCAAACCAAACAGACAAATTTCGTGTACCATGGTAATGTCCACCTCATGCCCGCCTTGATGTACACAAAATATATCATTCCGGTCTAAGGTTATTTGTTGACACTGAAACGAAAATACGCACGCACACTGACTGTCAAATGGTTTGCTCTTTAAA